CTGGACATTATAAAGATTTAGCATGTGACATATCAAAATTTTCTGATGCATAAAAGTATTTTTAATATTAAAATGAAAATTACTTTGCATGATAGATAGGCAATATGTGAAAAGAAAAAAAAAGACATGAGAAAAACATTGCTTAAGACTCAATAAAAAATGTGATATTTTGCATACGAAAGCAATGTAATGTTTACTGATAATCTGCCAAATTTTGTTAACATTTGCTAACTGATTTAAAAGTTATAGTATGAAAACTATAACAAGCACAAAATGGTTACAAGGTCGGTCCCAGGGACCGAGCCTGTGCTGAAAGAGTTAAATTCATGGTGTAGGTGGGAGTATCAAGGCTAGTGGCGAGTGAAAAATTTATGCACATAGAGGGCAGCACTGAATAAGAAAAGCTATTATGTGAGAAGAACTAAGTATCTATTGGAAATACATTTTCAGTTTAGGAAAACTATAACTTTATGTGGAGGGTAATATTAAACTTACAGTAGAAAGTACAACAACAAAAGTAAACTAAAGCTGAAGTGTAACAATAAAATATACCTTTCCTAAAAATATTTTTATAGTAAGTTGTTGTTTCACTGTTTGGTGACTTTCTTCAAATTTTTCCTATTTTTAATGTTGATTTATAGTACATGAGTTTTCCTCTTTTTATTTGACTTTATTTCAATATTCTTTATTGGCACTTATGAAGATACCTATTTCTATATTAATGTTTTCAAAAATAACGAACAATAATATGCTTTTCAAACATTTTTCTATCTCGTATTTGATGAAAGATCCAAATTCTCATTATTTATGTAATAACAGTGTATTCAAACATAAATAGAAATATCTTCACAGTTTTTGTAATATTATATGCATGTAAGTAGAATAGTTTTTTGTTTGTTAATGTTCCCATGTTACAGTGTATGTTGTGATTTTTGCTAGCTAAAGCTCTGGAATAATTCTTGTAGGAAGTATTTGAAGAAATCAGCCTGGAGATACTTGCTGTTTAAACTTTTAAGGTTTATGTTTATCACAGAAAAATGTCTCAGTATAAACAAACATCTTTTTAAGGAATTGAAATACAGTTTTATTTTTAAAATTTTATATCCTAGGAAATGTTAATAGAAAATTTGTTTTCTTGCTTAATATAAAATATACATTATATTAATTTTTTTATTTTTAGTAGCTTACATTTTTGTTCTTTGTGCTTTATCTCTATAGGAACTTTCAAAACACTTCTCATCACTTGTTCCTCTCTCTCCAAAACCTTTGCCACATTTCAGTGTCGAAGAACACTCACAATCAGCTAGGAAACATGACTATCATATCAGAAAATGTGTTAAACAATCTAGCTCAGAGATAGATAAATTAAACTTGGGAGATATGACTTTTTATAAGCAGAAAAAACTAAAAGTTTTTTGTTCAAGTTCTGAAGAAAAAGAAACCAGAAAAAACAAGAAGAAAATAAGAAGAAAGTCTTCATCATTTATTAATTCATTATCGTGGTAAGTGACCTTGTTGCTGTATTGTGCAATATGTAGCAGTTGTATCAGTCAAATTTCATAAAATATATATTTTTATATACAAGTAATTATTCACATATCCGTGTTCATTTTCATAGTTTCTGTGTAAACAACTAAACAACAAATAAAATTTCAAAAGTTAGACACATGTAGAAAAGCCTTTAGTCAAAAAGAAAAATTAATAGTTTAAAGCAAAACTTAACAGTCATTCAGTTAAATGTTTGAAATGAGAAATATGTTTGATATCTATCACATTTGTCATTACCCCAATTTACAGCCTACTCTGTACAAAACAACTTAAAAGTATAAAATTAGGAAAGCAATGGCCATATCTAGAGGGTGTATATGTTATAATAAATTATAGGATTCAAACATAAGGTTCAGGTATTTGAAGTTACAAGTAGTTTTGGAGCACCTTCTTTAGTCTGGATGTTCCAAAGCTACATTCAGTTGCTCTAAAGCTATTGTCATGGAACTATTATAATAAGTTTTGATGAGGTAAATGCAATTAGAATTAACTTACACAGTCTGCTATAAAATGTCTTATGCAGCTGGTATGATACTGGGTTGGTTTGGTTTTGAATTTTGGGAAAACCTACATGAGGGCTATCTACACTAGCCATCCCTAATTTAGCAGTGAAAGATTAGAGGGAAGGCAGCTAGTCATCACCACCCACTACCAACTCTTTTTAGCAACGAATAGTGGGATTGATCATCACTTTATAATGCCCCCAGAGCTGAAAGGGCGAGCATGTCTGGTGGGACAGAGATTCAAATCCGCGACCCTCAGATTGGGAATCAAGCTCCCTAACAACCTGGTCATGCTGGGCCAATGTGATACTGTATCAGTAATAGTCTTTATATAGATGATAAAGGGGGAAATGCAGCACAAAATTGGCAAGAAAGATCAAATGACAACTACATTATGATAAATGCATCACAATACTGTACAGAATAAAATACTTGGTTGAAAGATGAGGAGTTTGAAATATAGTTATGCTTCCTAAATGGTACTACCGCATCTAATCTCCCCTATAGCTATCTCAACCATCATTTGCCCTCTAGGTATTGATAAATCTTATGAACAGTGCACCAGTCTTTTATACTCCTATAGTTTTTGCGTCATTGCAGCAACATGTGCTGATCATGTGACCATCCTCCAACAATCCCATTGCACCCTCTGTACTAGCACAGGTAGCTCCCTCTACAATTACAGCACAATCTTCACTTTCTCAATTGGCACTACATTATTCAGACGTGTGTTTTCAGTTGTTCTTCAAGCGATTTCTGCTCCGTTTTTGTGTTTTCTTGGTAGTTTTCACTTTTAATTGGAATTACTTGTTCATTTAGTTGTTCCTTTACTATTTTTTTTTCAAATGTTCACATGAACTTATGAATTCAACTTTTCTTGTGGCAGATGAAGAATTTCCCGCCAATATGGACGAAACTCATGTCACTAGTCCCTAGTGTGGTGAGTTGCCGATGTTGGATGAGGAGATTCAGGCATTAATTGGTGGGAGTTGGACACTTTTGCTTCTTCTTCTGCTCATTCTCCCTTTCCCTAGAACCATGCTTCTGAGTAAGTTTTTCGTCAGGGGAGGACAATTTTGACTCAGTTTTTGCTCCCCCGGTTTTTTTTGGCCAGTCACAACACTGACAGTTGGGAGAGTCTGCTAACTATGCCTTTCTTACACCTTATTGATCATGTCTCCCTTTTAGCCCTTGATTCTTCTATTTCTTTCTTGCTGGGAGAAGAGCCTCATTCCGATGATTATTATTTTTCCTCCCTCTCCCGACATTCTTGTACATGCTCAATGTTTTGCTGCTCAAGTACAGTCAGGATTGTGTGTGCCTCATCCCCCCTCGGCTTTTGGACCAATTCTTTTTTGCTTACCAATCTCCCTCGAATTCCTATTTGAATTCTCAGTGTTTAGATCTGCTCCTTCCCTTGTAGAGTTCTAATCCTGATACCTTTGTTCATTTTAATAGGTCCCAGTTTACTATAATTCACATTACATTGACCAATCTTTTATGTATTCTTTCCTTTTTACAGTTGTTGTCTCAGGCCCTTCAACAGTCTCCTGATTAGTTCCTGGCCAATCTCTGGACCCTCCTATGGTCTAATATGGCCATGTTGTCGGCTTCAGCCTTGTCCCTTACCTCTTGGATTTTGTTTTGGTGGAATTTACTCAGGAGGGATGCGTCTCCCCCTTTCATCGTTATGGGAACTTCGTCAGGCCTCATTTCTGCACGAAATGGTCTTTGGGGTCCTACTGGAGTCTTTGGAATCCAGGGTCAATGTGGTGAGATTGCATTCTTCTTATTCTTTGTCTTTCCTTGCTTCTCATTTGTCTCTGCTCAATCTTTGCCTATTTGAGTGCCTCGTGCTCCTTCTTCTTTGCCCTGCCATTTCCGTACTCTTGATGTTCCATTCCTTATGCCCATTCTTCCTGTTCCTATTCTTCTCGGCCTCACCATTATTGGTAATGAGATGTCTTTCTATGGGCAGGTGGGGGCCAGGTTAGAAATCTTTTCCACCATCTGGAAACCCTTCATGACGGATCCATGGGTGTTACGGGTTCTGTCAGAGGGTTTATGCATTCAATTCCAGTCCCCTCCTTCCCTGTCCTCTTTCCTGGTTTCTTTTCCTCCTCCTTGGGATCGTGTCTTGTCCAGTCATCTAGCGAAGTCAGTTCTTGATCTTCTTCACAAGGGTGATGTAGATCATGTTTTGCCTGTTCATCCAGGCTTTTACTCCCATCTGTTTGTTGTTCCCAAAAAGGCGGGAGATTGGAGACCTATTATTGATCTATCCCGGCTGAATTCCTTTCTAAACACACCCTGATTCACCATGGATTCATTCTACCTCTCTCTTATGTGGGTTTTTTCCCCCAATCTTTGGATGACCAAATTCAACATGACAGATGCTTACTTTCATATCCCCATGGCTCAAGAGTTACATCATCTTCGGTTCATCCAGGGGAAGTATGTGTTCCAGTTCTATGCACTACTGTTTGGTCTTGCCTCGGCTCCTTAAGTATTCTGTCAGGTTGTCTGTGCTTTTGCACATCATCTTCATTCATTGGATCTTCGGACTTATCATTGCACGGACTGCTGGCTCCTGTTCACCTCTTCCTGAGCCCAATCTGCCAATCACACCTGTTTCCTTCTTTGGGAGTCTGCTCAGGTGTGGTTTCTCATCAAGGTGGTGAAGTCCTTTCTCACTTCCACTCAATACCTCATTCATTTGGGGGTCCTCTTCAATTCCCATCTCAGTCGGGCCCAGCTTTCTTTACTTCAACTCCTGGATATGGAATGAGCAGTCATTTGGACTCTGTCTTCACCTTATGTTCCTGCTAGAGAGGTTCTCTGTCTTTTGGGGCCATAGACCTCCCTGGATGCTCTCATTCCCTTCATTGGGCGCTTCTCGACCAATGGAACTTCTCCTTCAACTCTTGGAAGATTTCGAGTTGGTGATCCATCGAAGAATCTGCTTACAGTATTAACCACTTGAAGCTGTTGGCAGTTTGTCAGGCTCTCACTCATTTCCTCCCACAGTTAATCTCCAAACAAGGGGGTACCAAGTCCAGGACCCTGTGTTTTCTCACACTCGATCTGTTATACTGGCTCACAGCTACAACATCACGCTCTTGGTGTGTCATGTTCTGGGTGCTATGAATCTGGTTGCATACCATCTATCATGCCTCAACCAAGTTCTTCCTATGGAATGTCCCCTTCATCCAGGGGTTTTTCAGTGGAAGTGTTCTCACCTGGGTACACTTCATATCAATGCATTTGCAACCCATTGAAATGCCAAACTTCCTTTTAGTTTCCTGTCCCATACCCCTCAGTTCTGGAGGTAGAAGCATTTAGTCATAATCGGAGGGCTTCATCTCTATGCTTACCCTCTGATCAGACTCCTCTCCAGGGTTCTTTCTCTCATACAGACCACTCCTTGCCATGTGTTGCTAGATGCTCCATATTGGCCTGCTCAGTTGTGGTTCCCTCTACTTTGGCCCTTACTGGAGCAGTAACCCCTTCCCTCCATCCAGGTCTCTATTTCAGCAACCTTGATCGGACATGTTTCATCCAGACATTGCCAAACTCCATCTTTTGTCCAGTCCATTGCCTCCTCTCAGAGAGACACTACCCATGTAGCTTCTTTGCTAACCCAATACACTTGTCCTTCCTCATTGTCCATATATAAGCGTCATTAGCCTACCTTTCACCAGTGGTTCAATCACTAGGAATTCCGTCCTTCAGTTTCTCATGTGAACAGGTTCTTTACCTGGTTATTTGATCAAGGTTTGTCTGTGTCCACTGTTTCTAGTTATTGTGTCACATTTTGGTTTTACTTATGCATTTTTTTTTCTCATTTCAGACACAGTTGTTTTCCTTTGCATTTCTGTATCCCACCCTGGTGTTGCCTGGTCAGTTATGCTGAATCATTTTATTACTAGCACTTACTCTACTTTCTAATGCTCACTGTGGAGATGGGGTGATTCTGTAAGACCACTGGACGCTTTTCTGGAGGTGTGTATATATATATATCTTCTGAGGCCCATCACTCATGGAGTACATGAGTAAAGCAGATAGGGACTTTTGCCCATCCCTACTGACCCATAATTCTTACAGTCCAGGTCTTTCTGCATTTCAAAATAGTGAAATGCAGACACCCATTGTACTGTCTCCGGTGGGTCGTTCCTTCAGACCTCCCAACTCGTCTTTCTCCCCTCTGTCTTCTAGTGAAGCACGGAGGTCCTTGCCACTTCTGGTTCTCAGTTAGTAGAGTGGTGGGCCATGGAAGTTTCCTCACGAGTCAGTTTTGTACAATAAAAAATCTCATAGCCATGTGTACTCACTCGATGAGAAAAGGGCTGTTGTCATTATGCTGCCTATTATACACACATTATGGCACTATTTATATTATGCAGGGCACTTCCACTGGATGTTTTCTGCCCAGATGGACCGCACTTGACATACTCCAATGTATACGAAGGGGCTTCCACCGGATGTTTTTGCCTGGGTGGACTTCACTTGGCTATCTTGATATCAATCCAAGGTGCTTCCTCTGGATGTGTTTGCCCGGGCACACCATCTATCATTGTTAGGCTGCGTATTACACATAGAATATGGTATGAAATCTCTTGTGCAAGGAGCTTCCTCTGGATGTTTTTGCCTAGATGGACCGCACTTGATATAATCCAATATATACCAAGGGGCTTCCCCTGGATGTTTTTGCCTGGGTGGATCTCGCTTGGCTATCTTGTTCTAAATCTAAGGTGCTTCCACTGGATGATTTTGACCAGGCTGACTGCACATGGCATAATACTTTGTATCCCAAGGCACTTCCCCTGAATGTTTTCTGCTTAGGTGGATTGCACTTAGCCTATTCATATATGGTCCTCTAGCCCTAGCCACGTATTCTCTTCATTTCCTCCCTACATGTCTTATCTTCTTTACTGGGTGTAGGGCATACCTTTTCCAGAAGTAGTGCTATATCCCACAGGGTGCCTTGTATTTTAATAGTGGCATATCTGCTTTTTTTCATAGCAATCACTCTGCACTTGATTATTTGTTTTTGCGCCTTCACCGGCCTCTCCACCTAGCTATGGGGGAGAAGAGGTAGTGCTGTTTTGGAAGTTAAAATTTTTAAACACTGAAAATGTATTTCTGATAGGTACTTACCTCTACTCACCAACTTCCCACCCTTCCTCCCCATTGCTTTGCCGGTGTTTTCAGGTTTATATATGCCAGTTCTCAAAAGTGAGGACTGTTCTGCAATGGTAGAGGGAGCTACCTGCACTAGTATAGAGGGCAAAATGGGATTGGTGAAGGGTGGTCACATGATCTGCACATGTTGCTGCAATGATGCAAAAATATATAGGGGTATAAAAGACTGGTGCACTGTTTACCAATGCCTAGAGGGCAAATGAAGGTTGAAATAGATATGGGTGAAAGGAGGTAAAGTACCTATTGGAAATACATTTTCAGTGTTATAAAATGTTAACTCCCTGAAATCTTTGGATGATGCAACACCAACATGTGGCAATGCAACATTTTTACTCCATGTGTCTGTAATAAATGTAAACATGCCATATTACACAGCAATCTGTATAAGACTTTAATCAGACTTGTTCTGAAGCTAAAGATAGCATCAGAAATTAGATTAGAATAACAGTCTTCTGACACTGTTACTGATCTGTTTAAAGCAAAAGTACTGCAGAGAACATTTGTTATTGTTGAACCCTACTCACCACATTGCTACAGTCCATGCTGCCTGGTCATCCTCTTTTTGACAACTGTGCTTTTAACAATAGCCCTGCAGCATAATTTCTATTGCAAAAGTCTCCAACATAAGGCTGTGTGTTCATAGCAAACACCTTCCTTCCTGCAGTTTTTCAAAGTCTATCTAGTGTCTGAGGATTATAGTTTTGTAGTGCATAATTAAATAGTTCAGTTGCACAGAAATCCATGGGTGGTGTATGTGGCAACTTGGCTATTTTGTCTTTCTATGAATAGCATTGAATACCCATTTCATTCACCAACTACTTGAGGTATGCAATGACTGAATGATTTTGTCACTTTTCCAAATGAGAATCTATCTTCATTATGTTGCATACTGTTGCCTGAGGCTTGTGGATGGCTTTTGCCAATGACATTTGTGTTCGTTGATTCTCACCTGCTACAAAACAGGGGTAGGACTTGTTGCAGGTCTCTTTCTGGATGGCCCTAGTTCCCCCAAGTTGATCTATATTCCTTTGTTTTTCAATGTTTTAGCTTCAAGGAATATATATATTTTAGAAGTTCTATATCTCCAATCTGAACACATCTTTATGATCTGAATGTATAAATATTTTGTATTGGAAAGAACTGTTATGTACCCGGAACAAAAGTGATCGGTTTTCTCCAAAGAGTTTCAAAAAGTAGTGCTGATACATCTGTTCATCCACAACTTTATATCGGCTGGGGTTTTCACATGTGTGACTTGCTAACTTGCATATTCAAAATTGTTTTAATGTAATGTACTCGACCTCAGTTTTGAGTTAAAAAAATCTATCCAAAGAAATAATAGTTCACTTTGAATTAGATCTAAACTATCAAACTTGGTAAATAATAAGTCATTGAGAGATGGCTTTATAATTGTTTTTTTTTCTCCTACAATTTAGTCTTGATATTCAGTAAAATAGTTCACTTCAATAGAGCATTGTTTGATGCAATACATTAAAAACACAAACTGTAGTAATTATTTTTCTGATGATTTTTGTTGATATTTACTCAAAAATTGAAATGTGTGAATTGTGAAGGTTTTCAAATTTCTTTGGTGACTCTCTTCTGAAATATAAAATTAATAAGCTATAAAGATGTTGTTCTGCTGTGAGTCAGTAAAAATAATTATATCATACTGTTTGCTGACATTCAGTGTACAGGAGTTCACCAAGAAGAAGAAGAAATACAATAAGCATCACAGCAGAACAAATGAGAGAACATGCTGCATCAATAACAAAATACAAAAACTTCAAGAAAAGAATAAGACTGAGCAAAGAAAGCCAAGAAAGAAATCTGCAACCCCTCAAATGCAACAACATCAAGACTCTCATTCTCTAATCTGTTTCCCTGTTCCTAACATAGTTGCCAGGAGTCAGTCAGAGGCTGTTTCAGCATCTAAATTAAATCTGAAAAGGTAAAAACTCTTTTAATTCAGTATATTCCACTTGAAAAGAAGAAAAGACAAAGTACATAAAAAATATTGCATAAAGATTTGTATTGTGGTCATTTAATCAACTCTCCAGAATAAATATTCATATACTGTTTTAGACATTGGATTAAATATGTATATATAAAACCTAGGCAGGTTGTATAAGCACACCTTTTGAAAGCACTAGGGTTTTATTGGGTTTATTGTGTGTTTTCCAACCCTTTTTTATCCTATGTGTTTTCTACCATTTTGGTAATTGGGTAATATTTTATAACAAAATTATATGTACAGATTATGTGAATATCTCTGTGTGAAGAGGTGTGCTCTTATAGCCTTATATTGATAACAACAGTATTATTATGAATGTTGTTTTGTAAGTTTAGTTTGTTACTTTTTACCTTTTTATTTTGTTATTGTGCTTTTATCTTGTAACAAGAACTCTATGATATTGTTACGTCTCCGTTTGTTAATTAACTTTCCGTAACTTCGTTCCAACGAAACTTTAATGACACAAGTCTTTACTTAATAAAACTGGTTTATTCTTTCCGAATATAACTCTGCGATACACTTAATCTCAATGCTCGCGCTAAAACAACACTGTAACGAACGAACGTTAACTTTAACAATACCCTGTTACTGCAGTTCAATTACTCACTGACCATCACACATTACATTCCCCTCTTTTATATACCAGCGTACCCTATTTCTAGTAAGAACTTGAACATTCGCCAAAGTACATGATAGTTCTAGAAACGTTGCGTCACGGTGGTCATGTGACTCGCTGACGCAACACTGCCCCCTCCTTAATATTGTTCGTCCCGAACAATAACCACATATGATAAACCACTAACAGAAACTTAATTAAAATGTACAGAATTACAAACACA